GGCATTAGTGGATAAGAATCAGACCTGTCATTTCTCTCATAAAGACGCATACGCTTCCTTTTGCTACCTTCAGTGAAAATCTCTTGCTTCCCCACCAACGGGCTACAACCCTGAGCAGAACACTTACATTCACTGGGTACATCTAGACTACGTTCTTCTTTTGAAAGGAGATATGCAAATTTAGCGCCAAATTTGCATATCTCCTTTTGAAAGAAGACTGTCGTCTAGATGTACCCAGAGATGTGATCTACAGAAGGACGGGATGCAGGTCCAAAAGGAAGAATAAGAGCAAATCCATATTGTCCACTTGGAAAGTTGACCTAAGAGAGGTATAGAAGACCTCTGACTGACTTGTAGATCAGCCTCTTGAACACCAAATCGGAAACACAGTCCTCAACAGTTGCACGACAGCAAAGATGGGGTCCTGTTACTGAGCTTGCAATTCAACTGCTTCAGACTCAGACAAGTATCTGGACATGACGCAATTTTCCAAACAAGAAGTATAAATCTTCTTACATCCCATTTATCTCCTCGGGCAGGAGGAGGACTGAAGACAAAAACAGAACATGTACAGGAGACCCCAGGGCAGGCATCTCTATTGCTAGATGAAACAGACATAGCACAGGAAAAAACTCAGGCTGAGGAGATGCAGGAGAGCAGGGATGAAGGGGGAAGGAGGCGGCAATGCACTAGGAGGGAGGAGGTGGCTATAATTGCATTGTGACAAAGTTTCCTTAAAAGAGAAAAAATAAACAAGATAATTCTTGCTTCAGATCAAAGGAGTAAATTAATATGTCAATGACTTGAAGTGACAGCTTATTTTGGGGGTCGTGTAGCACCTTAAAAACTAACAGACTTATCTGGGCCTAAGCTTTCACTTCATCAGGGTCTTTGCCCACAAAAGCTTGGGCCAAATAAATCTGTTAGGATATGTCTACACAGCAACATTATTTCAAAATAACTTCAGTCTGCGGCTACACAGCAGGCAGTTATTTCAAAATAATGTCGAAATATTGTCCAGCTGGAGGACTGCTTACTCTGACTCCTGTAATCCCCATTGGAGGTGGAGTAAGGGAAGTTGGAGGAAGAGGGCTCTGTTTTGAAATAAGTGCTGTGTAGACGCTCCCGATTTCGAAATAAGCTGCGCAACTGGCGCTCAATTTGCATGGCTTCTTTTGAGTGAAGCCCTACTGTATAAACACACCCCAAATCTTCAAGGTGCCACACAACTTCTCGTTGTTTTTGCGGATACAGACTAATACGGCTACCCCTCTGAGAATTTATTTTTTGTTACCTGTGTGCAAACACCAGGTTTGCATTTGATTCCCCTCTGTGCTAAATTCAGTCCCTAATGAGTAATCAGTTGCCATTAATATTAAAGAATCATTGGACAAGAGCTGAAGGAATTCACTTACCCCCTATTTCATTTCACTATGGCTGTGTCCAGCAAGGGTTTTTTCGAAAAAAGTAGCCTTTTTCCGAAAAAACTTCACTTGCGTTTAGACTACAGCTGCGTTCTTTCGAAATTAAATCGAAAGAACGCGGCTTTTCTTCAACGGCGGTAAACCTAATTTCACGAGGAAGAACGCCTTTTTTCGAAAGTGCTCTTTCGAAAAAAGGCGTTCTTGACTGCAAATAGGGCGTTTTCGAAAGAGAGCATCCAGACTGCCCGGGTGCTTTCTTTCGAAAAAGCGGCTTGCTTTTTCGAAAGTACTGGTTGCAGTCTAGATGTTCTTTTTCGAAAGAGGCTTTTTCGAAAGATACTTTCGAAAAAGCCTCTTTCGAAAGAGGCTTACAGTCTAGACGTAGCCTATGAAGCAGGGTTTTTTTCTGATTTTGTTGCCTTAAGACAAAGCCAGGCATGAGAATTAATGGCCATCAAGTCTCATGCCTCCCCCTTTACCTGTTTTCTCAACGTTCATGATGCAGGCTTCCTGGCCCTGCACTCCAGCGTCCCAGTTGTGAGCAGACCTCAGCCTCGTCTCTATGCCCAGCTTCTGAGTCATACGCTGAGACTGCGGTTGACGACGCTTCTCCTTGTTCTCCACCTGACTCTTGCCCTTGCCCAACTGGTCCTGCAAGGCCTGCATAAAAACACAACCATTTTCTCTTTAAAGGGCATTGTATCTCAAAAGAGCACAAATTCTCCCTGGACGTTTCATCCTAGACTGAACGAGATTTTGACTGAACAAGATTTTGAAAGGTCGCCCTGTGCCCCAGGGTATTGAAATCATTACGTTACCTCAGAATCAAACAGTATTTCAAAATGTAGTTCTGCTGTCTTCACATGATGGTTGCTTCCCTCCACTACTCTCGTGCAATTAACTCCTCACCTGCTAAAACCAAACTGCTTCCCATTGCTGTTGCAACCTAATCAAACCCCAGCCTCTAGCACCCCACTAAGGCCATCAGGGCCCTCTTCCCAATGACCTCCAATGCTCTCTCGTGCTTTCCTTCCGTCTTTCGGATCTCATCTCTCTCCGATTGCCAAAAGGTCAGTCAGAAGGCAAAAGATAAGAAGCAGCAGGTACAGGGTCTCAAATACAAACTACTGACTGGAAATCAGCATCTCACACAGCAGTCATTTTTCACAGTTCTGAAAACTCTATTTTAGAGAGAAAGGAACAAGGAGGAGATGGGCAAGGGACAAAAACGGAGAAAGCAATGTAAGAAAAAATATAAACTTAATTACAGTGACTGAGACTGATCCATTCATCCCAGACCAGGTGATTTCCTGATTGCAGGCAGGAGAGTCAAGCCAAGATTGTTGGGAAAAAGGAGGAAGAAAGAAAACTCAGTTTAAGCAGGAATTAAACAGAGTGAATCAGAAACCAGAGCCAGAAAAGATGCATTAAGTCATTTAGTCCATCTAGTCCCAGACACGTTTGAGTGCAGGATTATTCCTCTCCCTATGCTGACTGGTGCTTTGTCCAGTCTCATTTCAGATCACCCAAGCACTGAGGCTTTCACCACGTCTGCCAGGAGACATCCCCCGAGTCAGGAAGTTTTCATGGAGATTCAAACTCAGTTTTGCTTTCCTTACTTTCATCCCATTCCTCCTAGTTACAGCCCATCCTTGAACCATCTTAAACAAGTCCTCATTCTCCTTAATGTTTATATCCCATTGGTTGAGGTTCAGCCAAGATGCACATATTCAGTTTGATTTTTGCTTTAATGCTTTATGAACTTAGAGTTAAATCCAGCCTCATAAATCAATGCCCCCAGCTTCTTAATCATATTTATTGTTCTCTGTATTCTTTCCTGTTTGTCAGCACTTCCCGGATAGAAAGGGACTCAGTCCTGCATACAGTATTCTAGTTAGTTCAGTTGTTCTATAGACTGTAACTGCTGTGTTCCAGGACATGTTGTTTCTGATTTCATGCTGGCTTTTTTTGCTGCTATATCACATTGTAAGTAACTATAACGTGTCACTATTTCAGAAGCACAGAATTGGAGCAAGCCTAATGTCGAACAGGCTTACTCAAGTATGACAGATCTGGAAGGATGGAGAGGAATAAGGGGATTATCATAATGTAAGTAGCAGTTATTCAGTAGCCTGAAAACAAAACTCTGTAGTCTCCTTTCCAGAAGCAAAGCTCTCCTATTTCTGCTACCACATCAAGATGACACTGCTTCTGGCGCTGTGGCAGGACTACCTTAATGGCCTGTAGACAGGACTTTGAAGCTGTCTCTGTAGTGACAGTTACAGGGATTTCTCAGCTCTTGATCTAATACCAGTACAGCTCTGCTGGCATTAGCAGTGATGGGTGCATTTTCACCACCATGTCATCTAATTAGTTACACTGTATCTATAATGTTCTGAACTCAGGCAAGGTTTACTAGTACAACCTGGTAGTGTAGACCAGTGTTTCTCAACCCTTTTATTTATAAAGTACCCCTTAAAAATATATATATATATATATATATAAAAGCAGGGCTCGCCGAACCGCGGCAAGCCCTGCTTGCCAGCTGCGCTGTCCGGCAATCTGCGCATGCGCAGATCACCCGAACCCGGCTCTACTCGCCACGGGCATTATTTGTCGAGCCCTGTATATAAGTACCCCCAGTACCTACAGTTTTCAGACACACAGAATTTTTTTCTACCATTCCAACACATTTGTTTAAACAACTTAATTGTAGCCAGGTGGGCAATGAAATTTTTGGGTGTAAAAAGTACAAAAATAATAAAGCGCTGTAAAACTTAAAACAAAAATTCAGTTTTCTCCAAATTTCAGTTGCGTTGACATACCCCCAGACTTCTCTCGAGTACCCCTAAGGGTACTCGTACCACTGGTTGAGGAACACTGGTGTAGCCAGGCACTTTGTAGATCACAAAGCACTGAAACTGGCAAGCAGTGCCAAACAAATAAATCTCTGCCCTGAAGAGCATAAACCGGAAAGGCATGAGTGCAATACACAACGCAGAACAGATAATAGTTATTACAACCGGAATGTCACCTTTTATAAAGTGTTTATTTCTCAATTGTTACGTTGAGAGAAACAATTCTCAGACTGCAGCCAGTAAACAATACGTTGCCTGTCATCCCACGTTCAAGAAGCCCTTTATAAAAGGCAATCCCTGAAGAGATACTACACGCCTGTGAAATAGGTAGGAACTGTCCCATTTTACAGAAACCCTGTTAAAGTGACTTGCCCAAAGTCCGATAACGAACAAGCGACAGAAAGAGAAACAGAACCCTGGAGTCCTGATTCAACCCTTTATTCTAACCCCACCATATGAAATCCCTACTGTCTTCTCCCACCCATCTAATCAGTAGCTAGTCAATGCTATTGCAAAGCCCTACATATGGGGTAAAGCATATGCAATTATAAGGTGGTGGGATTTTTGTTTGTTTTGTCTTCTTCCTCTCTCGAATGATTATTATATAGCTCAAAAGTGACACCAAAAATGTTACTCTTTGGAGTTCCTCTAAATCTTTACCACTTCCCCATTGCATTTGGTTTCCTAACACTTTCCAGACAACTGAGATATATTTTCCCAACACGCTTTTCCATCTCCACTCAGGGATTAAAGTATTACAACGAAGTGTCTTTATCCAACAGAATACATTGTTTTGTTTTTTTTTAAATGACAGGCTAGTTTTAAAAGTGATTTAAAAAATGTTGTGAGTTTTCCAAAGTTCAAGTTTCTACCTTATTCCCTAGAGGGCTCTCTGCTGTGAGCATGTGGTAGTATTGAGATAGATCAATTGTGAGCTTCACAATGAGGATGTTTTTCATATTCCTCCCTCCACCCCCCAAATGCATCCTGTGCCTACCACTAATTCTTTGTTTGGGATCCTCTGCTGCTGACCCTGATTCTGAACTATGGATAAAACAAGTTCAGTGCAACCCTATGTCTAGGAAGTGCAAAGATTTATGCCTTCCAGATTTTGGAACTGCCGGGGACTGATTCAATCCTTAGCACAAGTTAGAGCAGCGCCAGGAGCTACTTTGACTTACATCCTGCCAGCAACAGTCCTCCAGGGACCACCAAACAGATCATAATAGTCCTAATGCAGAGTGATCTAGCCTCCTGCCTTCCCCAGTGCATTCCTTTTCTTCCAGAGACATGTCCCTGATCTGTCCAGGCATTGTGATGGGGCCTGGTGTAGTGTCATTGCACCAGTCCAATGTCACCAAGAAATCCTCCATACACCTTGGGTACTCCCTAGTGGAGAAGTCAGGCTGGCTTTTGGCTCTTTTACACTCCAGGCAGATGAATTCTAGATCCCAATATAAACCTAGTTGATAACCCACTCCCTTGCCCATAAAGACACATTTGAAAAGACACACAGTTCAAGGAGGAAACCACTGAGCGCCAGAGGATAAAGAATGTATTCTTCAGTAGCTGCTCTGGCTTTCACTCCTCTCTCAGAAGTGGATTTTGAGTGCCTTACCTGTACAGTCAGGTAGAGGCTGTGGGGAATTCCAGAGCCAGACCAGTTCACACGGGTTTTATGTTGGACCAATGTAGGCAGCACAGGAGTCTGGACAGAGGAGTCTTCTTTACTGTCTCTGAGGAGTGAATCTTGTCCACTCCCTTAAACAGAAGAAAAAATAAAGTAAAATAAATCAGTCTCATGGAAACTGACTACAAACAGTTTGTCTAGCAGAGAGTGAGGAGGGATCCCTTTTCATGAATCCAGTCTTAAGTGTGCCTCCTGTTCTCATGCAGCAAGCCTGTCTCCTCCTCCCCCCAGGTTCTGTTCCAGATCATCCATCATCATGCTAGTAACAGAAGCTGGTATTCAAGCCCCTCTCCCTTTTCTGGCTCACAGCCAAAGTCACTAACAACTACAGTGACGCTTTTGATGCCTGCTGCCCAAAATGCTTCAGGTCAATGAAGAAACCATGAGCTTTGTATGAAATCTCAGCCACAGGGACTCTCCCATGTAGTAGAGGAAGGAGAAGGAATACCCAAAGCTGCAGTCCCCTTAGTTGAATGAGCTGAGGCCTGTCAAACTCATTTCACACATGACCACAACTCCCTCCCGTACGTCTTTGGAAAATATAAAGCACCACACAAGAACAAAGTGTTATTACAACTTTGGTAGTGCTGATGAGCAAAATGAGACCTTAAGGGCAAATATGATCTGTTGGCAAATGAACATAAAAGAATCCAAAATGTCGCTTTCACAATCTATTTGTGTATTTTTATGTAGAGTATCCAGACTCTGGAGAATTATGTCAGCTCCACCTCTTAATCTACGATGTTGTCAGAAGCTGAAACTTTTTCTGTACTGTCAAAACTCCCACGCAAGGCGCCTGGGAATGAGGATTCCTGGGTTCTCCACCCACCTTTGCCACTTGTTTATTTGTGACTTCAGTATCCATGATTCATCCCCCATCTAGTTGCCTGACTAACTCTGCATCCCAAAACCTAACTGCTAGTGCAGGACTAGCGAGCTAACACCTCTTCTCCCCAGAGTGTACTTTTCGCTATGGCACCAGAACCAAGAAAGACAAATCTAGAGGCAAATTAGCCATTCGGCTCTTTTCTGTGCCCAAAACTCACTTGAGAAAAAGGAAGAGTCTTCCAGCTCTCTCAAAGCTCAGACAAAATCAAGCCCTGGATGAACAGTAGCTGCCCAAAGCTGAACCTCCTTAGGACTGACAGGATGCTGTCAGCAAGGCTACGTCTAGACTGCAGGCTTCTTTCGGAAGAAGTTTTTCCGGAAGAGCTCTTCCAAAAAAAGTCTTCTGAAAGAGAGCGTCCACACTGCCAAAGTGCATCGAAAAAGCCATCTGCTTTTTCGAAAGATAGTGTCCACGCTGAATGGACGCTATCTTTCATTTCAGCTGATATAACTATGGATGGAGTGGCCACCAGGGCACCTGTGCTTTTTCCTCTTCTTTCGAAAGAACTCCTTCTTCTCCAACCACACACATTTTTTTCCAAAAGAGCTCTTTTGCAAAAAGGCTTCTTCCTCGTAGAAAGAGCTTTACCAATGTCGGGAAAACCCCTCTGTTCTTTCAATTTTTTTTCAAAAGAACACAATTGCAGTGTGGACATACGTGAAGGTGGGTTTTTTTCAGAAAAATGGCTGTTTTTCCGAAAAAACTCTGTAGTGTAGACACAGCCAAACTGGAAAGCACTGGGAAGAACTTGCCTCCAAGGCTATGGGTTGATATGGATGGTGGAGTCCTCAGTGCTACTGGCTCTACCAAATTCATGGCCATGAAAAATCACATTGCAGACCATGAAATCTGGTCTCCCACTGTGAGAGGTGTTATTCCATACTATACAGATTTAATGGAGAAGACCAGCCTTTCTCAAATTGGGGGTCCTGACCCAAAAATGGAGTACACTGATTTTAAACCTGTGGTTCGTGGACCCCTGGGGGTTCATGGCAGTATTGAAGGGGGAATTGTAGGGGGCCCATGCGGAGCCTCTCACAGCCAGCACATCCTTCAACGTGCATTGCTTCCTGCAGCTTGGGAAGCAGCGTGGTCTTATGGACGTGCAGGCTGCAGGCGCAGTGATATTGTTTGGGGGGGGGGCGGTCCGTACAATTTTAATAGATTGCAAAGGGGTCCATATCCTCGAAAAGGTTGGGAGCCACTGATCTAGTACACTCCTTTTCACTTTCTCATTCCCCACCTGTCTCTCTACCCAGTAACAAAGGAATGATACTATCTGAATGGGGAAAGGGCATGGGGACGAGGGGGGAAAGGGGGGTAGGGAACGGCAAGCCAGCCTCTCAGATACACATTTCCATGCTCAGTCATCAGAAATCCGAGCAGAGCCAACAATACAGAGACAAACTGCTGCAAAAGTTTAAGAACGTCAATGTGTCAGAGTGAACAATTAACAAAGAGTCCACAGACAATCCATTTGTTTTTGATTTCCCACCCAAAATATCTATTCCCTGGGCTAAAACCTGGCTTTCCCATTTAGCCCCAGAGTGACCTTGAAGCCCAGAGAGCGTATGTTGTGTATAACTACATAGAAGCAGCAGCAGCATGCTTCAACAAGCAGGTATCAGTTCTTTTACCACCTTTGTGAAAAGGCATCAGCCCCTGGAGAAGAAAAACGATAAAACTAAACTCACCTATCTGGCTTATGTGCTTCGGAGAGAGAACAACCCTTCCCAAAGAGCCAAGATGAAGACTGAACAGAAGCCGCGTACATTTCTTCCATCCAGATCACAGAACTTTTTTTTTTCCTTTTACACCTTAAAATGTAATGTTTGTCCCAAAGCTCTTGACTAGAAATGAGGAGAGATGTCTTTCCTCCTCCACCAAAACAACAGCACTGAAACACTTGTCAGCTGAGCCCTGAAGTTACCTAACAGCTTTTCTCTGTTTCAGAATTGCTTCCTCCGAAACCTTTTTACACTCATCTCTGGCATCTAAAAAGAAATGTTAAAAATGCGGACTCACTGGTTTTCTAGTCTCTCCTGGCTAGAGTGCGAGAAAGGGCGTGAGTTTATGTGGGCAGGACATGGAATGGGATGAGCCATCACTTAATACTCACTGTCAAGAGGGAGGTCCTTTTTCCACCGGTCTTTCAATGAGGGAGTAGGTCCCAGATCCCAAGTCTTGTGAGATGTAGTCATGGCATAGGGTTCCAAAGCAGACTGACAACTCAGGGCCTGGGAATAACCACAAGCAAAGATATTCCAGTAAAGGACTGGATTCCAGCTGCAGGAAGTCAGCAGCCCGAGATGAGATACTCTAGCAACCCATGCAGGTAGCAATATCCCCAAGTTGTCTTACTGCCACACACGTCTGGAACTATTCAGCTTTTAATACTGGGGATTTGTCCACATGAAAAACACTGACCCATAAAAAAACAGGTGTTACACATGCTGTATCTGTAATTAACTTAATTCCTGTTTGCAATGTTATTGTAGCTATGAGGCTTCCTTCTTCAGGTTTTGATGTTTCCATTTGATAGCTTCCACTGTTGTTTGCAATGTTGTTTACATGTGTTGTTTTGGTTAATAATTTCTGTGCCATTTCCAGCTTTTTCCCCAACTACATTTGATTTTTCAACTTTTATACTGTAAGTTTTTCAGTCTGTGGAATGAATACCTAGTACAATAGCCAGAAAAAAAGCATCAATACAAAGAATAGCCAAGATATTCAGGGTCTGTGTTCACTTGTTGAGCCTGATCCTCATCTTGCACCAGTGGACTTCAGTGGAATTATTTCTGACTTAAACCTTCATAACTTAGATCAGAATGTAAAATGGAATCGAACCACATTGCTGCCTCTTAAAACTAAACAGGCCATAGAGCAGTTTTTAAACTGAGGGTCCGTCTAGACTACGGTTTTTTTCCAAAATGAGATATGCAAATTTGGCACTAATTTGCATATCTTCTTCTAATCGCTTTTTCGAAAGTGGGTTTTTTGAAAGTGAAAGTAGTCTGGATACAGGTTTTCAGAAAAAAAAACGTTTTTTGAAAAACCGTGAAAACCTCCTTGTTTTTAGGAGGAGTGGTTTTTTTGGAAAGGAGGGGGGTTCCAAAAAACTCGTGTCCAGACTACTTTCACTTTTGAAAAACCCGCTTTCGAAAATGCGATCGGGAGAAGATATGTTTTCGGAAAAAAAAAGTAGTCTCAATATACCCGAAGGGCGGAGGGAAGCTGATCGATATGAAGGAGCACATGGAACAGATAAAGACATCTCTAAGGGGAAGATCTATTCAGTGTGGTCCCTATGGGGGTGCAGGGCCTGGGACAAACTCCCCTCTGCCCTAGCTGGGACCCATCCCAGCTCTTTCTGCTCCTGCTTTGCCCCCACTCTTTCTGCCAAGCTGCACCTCTTCCTACCCCCATTGCACTCCTCCCAAATTCCCTCTCAAAGCCAACTGACTTTTCGCTCAAGCTGTAGAGACTCGTGCACTAAGCTATAGAGGTCCCAGGTTCAGTTCCATGTGTTGATGTTACACAAGCACCAGTCTCCCCCGTTATCACCCTGGGCCCAGTGGGACCCCCAAAGCACAGAGCCGGGGGTGGCTGTCCCAAACTACCCAAAAGACTCTGGATCTATTTATGGAGATTCTCTACTATGCCTTAGTAAGGAGGCAAGGATGGAAAATGATAAAATATGGATAAGAGCTGATGAGAAATGAAGAGAGTCCCAATCAATTGCATCTTGTATTGGCAGATATCTGAAAAGTTACATGTTTTTTAAGTGCTTATATACAAATGCTAGAAGTCTAAATAATAAGATGGATAAACCAGAGTGTTTCATATTGAATGAGGATATTGATATAAGAGGCATCACAGAGACTTGATGGAATGCGTATAATCAATCGGACACAGTAATACCAGGGTACAAAATATATCGGAAAGACAGACCAGGTCTTGCTGGGGGTGGAGAGTGGCACTATATGTAAAAGGAAGTGTAAAATCAAATGAAGAAAAAATCTTAAATGAATCCAACTGCATCACAGAATCTTTCTGGATAGTAATTCCATGCGGCTCTGCATTTTAAATATAGTAAGAGCCAGGCTGCCTGTGTGCCTGGCTCCTACTACATTTAAACTGCACAGTTGCAGTGAGGGTAGCAAGTGCCCCCTTTACTGACTAATGAAAATTCCATCGACTACTCAATGAGCTAATTAATTAATTTTACAAATTAAGTGTAAAAATATAATTAGGAAGACCTGCCCCACCCCACCCCATATCTTCCAAAAATAATTTGAAGAACAGCTAGACCAAAACTGAAAAAGTAATAGCAGCATTTTTAAGTACGTCAGAAGCAGGAAGACTAAACCAGTGGGGCCACTGACCAATCGAGATGATAGAGAAGCACTCAAGGGCGGTAAGGCCATTGCAGAAGAACTAAATTAATTCTTTGCATTGGTCTTTACGGCTGGGTACATGAGGGAGATTCCATCCCTAAGCCAGTCTTTTTAGGTGACAAATCTGAGGAACTGTCCCAGACTGAGGTGCCATTAGAGGGGGGTTTGGAACACATTGATAAACTAAACAGTAATAAGTCACCGGGGACCAAATGGCATTCAGCCAAGAGTTTTGAAGGAATTCCAGTGTGAAACTGCAGACTGACTAACTGTGGTTTGTAAACCTCGCCTTTAAATCAGCTTCGGTACCAAATGACTGGAGTATAGCTAATGAGATGCCAATTTTTAAAAAGGACTTCAGAGGTGTTCCCGGCTATTAAAGACTGGCAAGATTAACTTCAGTACTGGGTATTCTGGTTGAAACTGTAGTAAAGAACAGAATTGTCAGACATATAGATGAACATAATTTTGGGGGAGGGAGGGTGACTCAACGTCCCGTTTTTAAACGAACAGTCCTGTATTTAAGCCCTCCTGCAGTCATACCAACTTTTTTTTTTAAATGGGCAAATTGTCCTGTATTTTCTGTCTCTCCCTTCCCAGCAGTACTGGTGGGTCCTACTACTGGCTGGATCCCTGCTCACCAACCACCCCCCCACTAGCAATGAATGGAGAGAAAGCGGGGTCCTGTGGCTGATGATGGGGCGCGGGCATATGGAAGGCTGGTGGTTGGGTAAAGCTTCAGCATCAGGTCCAGCCCCTCCCTGTGCTAGTCCATCAGTGCAGTCCCTCCTCTGGCTGAGCTGGCCAGGAGGAGCCAAGCCCTGCATGTGCCAAAGGCCTGTACAGCACTGGCACAGGGAAGGGTCTGGTTCTGTTCAGCTCAGCTCCAGAGTGGCAGGAAGGAAGCTATTTTCAGCCTGTTTGGGCCCCAGCCCTGCTGTGTACTTAGAGTGTACTTAGATGTTCAGAAAGCCTTTGAGAAAGTCTCTCACCAAAGGCTCTTCAGTAACGTAAGCTGTCATAAGGTAAGACAGGAGGTCCTCTCATGGCCTGGTAACTGGTTAAAAGGTAGGGAGGTGGGCTGGGTTCCAGAGTGGCCTACGGGATAGAGCATCTAGGGATTACAGGGGATGAGAAGGACAACAGGGCGCCCTTGTAGCCAAGAAGGCTAATGCCATATTAGGTTGCATTAGGAGGAGCATTGCCAGCAGATCCAGGGAAGTGATTATTCCCCTTTATTAAGCTGTGGTGAGGCCACATCTGGAGTATTGTGTCCAGTTCTGGGCCCCCCACTATAGAAAGGATGTGGACGCATTGGAGAGGGTCCAGTGGAGGGCGATCAAAATAATTAGGGGGCTGGAGCACATGACCTATGAGGAGAGACTGAGGGAGTTGGGTCTGTTTAGTCTGCAGAAGCAAAGAGTGAGGGGAGATTTGATAGCAGCCTTCAACTTCCTGAAGGGGGTTCCAAAGAGGATGGAGAGAGGCTGTTCTCAGTAGTGACGGATGGCAGAACAAGGAGCAATGGTCTCAAGTTGCAGTGGGGGAGGTCTAGGTTGGATATTAGGAAAAACTATTTCACTAAGAGGGTGGGGAAGCGCTGGGCTGGGTTCCCTAGGGAGAGGGTGGAATCTCCATCCTAGAGGTGTTTAAGTCTCAGGATGACAAAGCCCTGGCTGGGTTGATTTAGTGGGATTGGTCCTGCCTTGGGCAGGGGGCTGGACTCAATGACCTTCTGAGGTCTCTTCCCAGCCCTAGGATTCTATGAAAAGACAGGAAACAAAGGGGAGGAATAAATTGCTAGTTTTCAGTAGGGATGTTAAAATGTGTGTAGTCACGTGAACCTGCAACCGCTGAAAATTTCAGCCTCGGTAGCAAAGGCAGCAACTCAGACAGAGGGCAGGAGGGAGGCAGTGCTAGCGGGTAGCTGGCTTTTAAGTTGGCTCTCCGCAAACACCAGCTCCCATGGAGCCTGCTCCTGCTCCTGCCTCTGCCCCCGTCAGTGCACTGTTGCTTTCAGAAAAAGGCATGTGTGGACGGGGAGGAGGGGTTTTTTCAGAAGAAAAGGCCTCCAGGAAATAACACAGGTGCGCTGGTGGCCGCTCCGTCCAAAGTAATCAGGATTCTATAGTTCCCGTCTCCTGGCCCCTCTTAAAACTGCAGGCCCTGAACAAGCATTGTGGCAGGAAGCCGGCCTGAGAGCAGCACCTCACTGTGCAGCTCTTCCTGCCACAGGCCTTGCCACCCATGGCAGAGCTTCAAGCTCCCCGTAATGCCCCTGGCCCTCGCAGGGAGCAGCTCCAGGGGTCCCAGGACCCACCCAGGGGGACCAAGAGATGTGCACCCTTCTGGTCCGGAGCAGAGATCCCGTTCTTCCTCGAGCTGTGGGTCGAGGAGGAGACATTGCAGGATCTCTGCTCCAAGTGCCGAAATGCTGAGATATTCGAGCGCATGGTCGAGTCCCTGGTGGAGTGTGGGCACCCACTCCGGACCCTTGGAACAGGTCCAGAGTAAGGTAAAAGAGTTCCGTCAGGGATATGTCTGGGACAGAGTGCAGCTCGCGCTCAAGGGCAGGACCCCACACCTGCCTCTATTTATCAGGAGCTGCACCAAATCCTCGGGGGTGGGG